AATAACATACCTTCTCAGCACCACATGGAACCTACTCAAAAATCGACCACATACTTGCCAACATATCAAAACTCAGAAGGTACAAAATATTGGAATAACTCCATGCATCTTATCAGACCATGATGCATTAAAATTAGAATTCCACAACAACACAAATTGCATAAAACCTACAAACTCATGGAAATTGAATAATGCACAATTGCACCATTCCTGGGTCAAAGAAAAAATAAAAAAAGACATTAAAGACTTCCCAGAATTCAATGAGAATGAAGACACAACATATCCAAACTTATGGGACAATTTCAAATCAGTGCTACAAGGGAAGTTCATAGCACTAAGTGCCCATATGAAGAAATTGGAGAATAGTTACTTTAAAGAATTAACAGGACTGCTGAAAGCTCGAGAACACAAAGAATTAAACTCACCCAAGAGGAGTAGATGCCAGGAAAGAATCAAACAGAGGGCTGAAATCAATAAAGTAGAAACTAGAAAAACAATACAAAGAAACAATGCAATGAAGAGTTGGTTCTTTGAGAAAATCAACAAGATAGACAAACCTTTATCCAAACTTATCAAACAACAGAGTGTGAACATGTGAATGAACAAAATCAGAAAAGAAAAGAGGGACATAACAACGGACTCTGAGTAAATTCAGAGAATCATCAGGTCATATTTTGAAAACCTGTACTCCACAAAATTCAAAAATGTAAAGCAAATGGACAAGTTTCTGGATAGTGATCACCTGCCAAAATTAAATCAAGAACAGATAAGCAATTTAAATAGACCTATGACCCTAAGGGAAATAAAAACAGTCATCAAAAGTCTCCCAACCAAAAGAAGCCCATGTCAAGATGGCCTCAGTGCAGAATTCTACCAGAAATTCAAGAAGAGCTTAGACCAAAGCTTCTGAAAGTATTCCATGCAATAAAAGCAGAGGCTTCAATAATCTTGATCCCTAAGCCAGACAAAGACAAAGCTAAGAAAGAGAGCTTCAGACCAATATCCCTCATGAACATTGATGCAAAAATACCCAATAAAATACTGACAAATCAGATCCAAGAACACATCAAAACAATCATTCATGTAGGTTTCATCCCAGGGATGCAGGGATGGTTCAACATACAAAAATCAACCAAATGTAGTCTACCATCTAAATAAGTTGAGAAACAAAAATCACATGACCATCTCACTAGATGAAGAAAAAGCCTGTGACAAAATCTAACACCCCTTTATGATAAAGGTCTTGGAGAGATCTTGGATAACAGGAACATACCTAAACATAATAAAACCTAAATACAGCAAACCAACAGCCAACATCAAACTAAATGGACAGAAACTCAATGTGATTCTGCTAAAATCAGGAACAATACAAGGATGTCCACTCTCTCCATACCTTTTCAATATTGCAGTTGAAGTTCTAGCTAGAGCCATACTACAACAAAAGGAAATCAAGTAGATACATATTGAAAAGGAAGAAGTTAAACTTTCACTATTTGCAGATGCCATGATAGTTTACATGAGTGATCCAAAAAACTCTACCAGGGAACCCCTGATAAACACTTTCAGCAATGTGGCAGGATACATGGTCAACTCAAGAAAATCAGTAGCCCTACTATATACAAACAATAAAAGGGCTGAGGAAGAAATCAGAAAAATATCACTGAACCTCTTAGAAGAGAAAGTGGGTGGTACCCTTGAACTAATTGGTACAGGAGACTGTTTCCTGAATGTAACACCAGTAGCACAGACATTGAGGTCAACAATTAATACATGGGACCTCCTGAAACTGAATAGCTTCTGTAAGGCAAAGGACATAGTCAACAAGGCAAAAAGGCAGCCTACAGAATGGGAAAAGATATTCAGTAACTCTACATCTGACAGAGGGCTGATCTCCAAAATTTACAAAGAACTGAAGAAGCAAGTATCCAAAACACCAAAGGATCCAATTAAAAAGTGGGCTACAGAACTATATAGAGAATTCTCAATAGAGGAGTCTAAAATGGCTGAGAGACACTTGAGAAAGTGCTCAACATTCCTAGCCATCAGGGAATGAAAATCAAAACAACTCTAAGATACCATCTTACTCCTGTCAGAATGGCTAAAATAAAAAACACCAAGGGTAGTTTATGCTGGAGAGACTGTGGAGAAAGGGTACTCTCCTTCACTGCTGGTGGGAGTGCCAACTTGTTTAGCAACTTTGGGAATCAGTATGGAGATTCCTTAGAAAAATGGGAATAATCCTACCACAAGACCCAGCAATTCCACTCTTAGGCATGTATCCAAAAGATTCATACAACAAGGACATCTGTTCCACTATGTTCATAGCAGCATCATTTTTAATAGCCAGAATTTGGAAGCAACCTAGATGCCCCTCAACCAAAAAGTGGATAGAGAAAATGTGGTACATTCACACAATGGAGTACTATTCAGCAGGAAAAAAATCAATGGAATTGTGAAATTTGCAGGCAAATGAATGGCACTAGAAGAAACCATCTTGAGTGAGGTAATCCAGGCGCAAAAATACAAACATAGTATGTACTCTCTCATATATGGACTTTAGACATAGATCTGGAGAGTGCCAGCCTACAATCCCATGGCCAGATAATCTTCATCCAATGGCTGATAGAAGCAGCAGCAGACTCCCACAGGTAAACACTGTGCTGAACTCAAGGAACCCAGTGACAGAGAAGGAGGACTGATGAGCAAAGCACTTAAGACTGGGCTGGTTTAACCCCCAGAAACAGCTGACCTGACAAGGGTTAGCTCTTGAATCCCTGACTGATGGCTGGGAATCCATCTCGGGACTGATCAAGACCCCCTGAATGTGGGTATCATTGAGGAGGCCTAGGCAATCTATTGGGTCCCTGGTAGCAGATCAGTATTTATCCCTGGCATACAAAGGACTTTGGGTGCCCATTCAATAATGAGAGATGCACTCTCACCCTGGACTCTAGGGGAAGGGTCTAGGCCCTGATTTGGATGAAATGACAGACTATGGACGGCCTCACCCTCCATGGGGAAATGAGGGGGCAATGGGGGTGGGTTAATGGGATGGCGTGGGAGGAGGGGATTGACATGTGAAGCAGCCTTGTTTCTAGTTTAAATTTAAATTTAAAAATAAAACTAAAAATAAAAAAGGAGTCCCTGGGGCTTTTGCAGAGGACCAAATTTCAGTTCTCAGCACCTACTTCAGTCATCTCACAATCACATATAACTCCAATTTTAGGGAATTTTGTGCTTCTGGCATCTGTGACTACCTGACTAAATGGCTACCAAGGTTTGTGGGATATGAGCTTAAGTATCAGTAGCTTCATAGAGAAATTTGACAGTTATATTATAAAAGCAGTGAGGTTAGTGTATTATTTACTTGTATTTATATTTTCCTAGGTGAAAAGTAGCCACAAATGTCACTTCAGTTTCAGGTCTTAAATGGCCTTGGGCACATACTCTATTATGGTCATGGTGGCATTTAGTTAGAAATGAAGGATAACTGCCATCGCATACCTCATTAAAATGTTAGCTTTAAAAGACCATGGAAGATCATCAGACTTTGAAGATCTCCCATGGAAGGCCTCCTCCTCCCTGGGGAGTGGATGTGGAATAGGATGGGGGGTTCAGTGGGGTGCATTGGAAGTTGGGAGGGAGAGGGAGCTTGGATTTATATGTAAAATAATTTGTTTCTATTGTAAATAAAAATTTTATAAAAAAAGAAAAAAAGACCAACTGCCTGCATTCACAAGAGAGAAGCTGTAACAATCTAAGAAGAAAACACCAAGGCATATATAACGATTGTATCTGAAAATGGAGTCTTTGGTAGAAGAACAGAAGCACAGGAGACAAAAGGACAGAACTCAGATAAATTTGTGAAAAAAATACAAAAATTTCCTTCATAAAACATTATCAAGACAACAAAGAGAGCCAGGTGCAGTGACTCCTTTTTATAATCTAGAACATGGTAAGCTGATCCAGGAGAAATGCTAAAAGTTCTAAGCCAGCCTGGACTTGAATGTGAGATTTTGTCCCCAAAAAACAAATAATTGAATGAATGAATGAATGAATGAATGAACGAATAAATAAATAAATAAATAAATAAATAAATAAATAAATAGCTTGCCCCAATAAAAAATAGACAAGGAGCTTGGCATCATAGCTCAGGGGTAGGTGTGGTTTCTGTAGGCTTGATGACCTCAGTTGACCTGAATTCAATCTCAGATCCCACATGTGGCAGGAGAGAATTAACCCTTGAGATTTGTCCTGTGATCTCCATGTGCATGCACATGGATACTTTAACAAAGGCACACTTGGAGATGCACACACATGCAAGAATATGTATAACATAAATTCTTTAAAAACAGCATCTAATTGGTACATAAAGAAGGTGGAAACTTCCTGGATTTCTGGTGGGAATGTAAGATGCCATGGCTTGTAGAGGACATGTCAGGTGGTTGTTCAAGGAGTTGAAGCTAGAATTAACATAGATCCAGAAATCTTACTTCTAAATAAATACACTAACATTATGAATTATTAATATAGTTCCTTTTTAGCATGTTTTACCTTATTTTGTTTATTAAAAACAGATTATTTTCTTACAAAATATGTCTGTATTTGTTCTCCTCTGCTGTAGAAGGAAGCCTTTCCAATGATGGCTGAATACGGCACCAATCTATGAGTACAGAAGCACAACATAAGGAGTCATTTTATTGTTACTTTTTAAAAGATTATCAGTATATAGTTTTACCCTAGATCCCTGGGATAGCTAATCTCTGGTTCTTGTTCATCCAAACAGTTTCAGTTATAGATTCCATGTCATGGAGTGGGCCTTAGCTCAAATCAGGCATTATTTGGCTATTTATACAAGTTCTATGCCACAATTTCCTTAATAAGGATAGATTATAGATCAAAGGTTTTATGGTGGTGTTGGCATTTATGTTTCTATATTTTGATAGCCTACAGAGTACCTTCCTACACCAAAGACACTAGAATATGAGAATGAAGCTCATATGGCAACTCAACAGGAGAAAAAGAGTTCCAAGAGCAGACACAAGAGCAAGGAGCCCACTCATTCTCACAGTCAGGAGGTCCACAGCAATGCTAATCTAGCAGCAATTATATATGCAGAGGATATGCAGACCCCTGTAGGCCCTATGTTGCTACTTCAGACTCTGTGAGTTCATATGCATCTGGTTTAGTTGTTTCAGAGGGCTTTGTTCTCCTGGTGTCCTCTATTCCCTTTATCTCTTTCACTGTTTCAGCCTCCTGTTCCTTGAGATTCTATGGTCTCAGAGGGGAAGGATTTGATGGAGACTTCTGCATAATGTCTGGTCATGGATATCTGCATCTGCTCCCATATGTGCTGAAGGAAGTCTTTCTGATGATGACTGGATAAATCACTGATCTCTGAATATGGCAGAGTATCATTAGAAATCACTTTATTGATCTTTTTGATCAGTAGTATTTGGTTATATTTCATGTCTCTGAGCTATCTAGCCTCTGGTTCTTGGTTACCCAAACAGTGTTGTGTATGAGTTCCTTTTTGTGGAGTAGATATTTGGTTGGTTACTCCCACAAGTTCTGTGCCACCATTGCCATAGCATATTTTGTAGGTAGGACACATTGTATGTCAACAGGTTTGTAGCTGGGTTGGTGTCCACATTTCTCTGTTGGTAGCCTGAAAAGTACCTTTCCACACCAAGGAGACTAGAATATAGATGTGAAGGCCCTATATAGGCACCAGCTAGATTTCTTCATGTTCAATGAGTTGTATAGGTATTGTCCTTTGCATAGGAGTCCCTGATTTTAGAGTTTGAAGAGCAACCTTTTGTCTTAGCATATAGCTTAAGTTGTTTAGGGATTTCCATGGGACCCCCCCTTGGCCAACAACTCAATTGAATGTAACCTAATCCTGCCATTGGAATTCTCAACTGACTATAAGAGAAGGCCAGTTGTGACTCCATATACCCCATTACTAGGAGGCTCCATTAGGATCACCTTCATAGATTCCAGGAAGTTTCCATTGCAATAGGTTTCCACATCACCCTCTAAATACACCCCCTCAATTTCAGTTGGCTCTCCCCACAGTCTCTCCTTCCACCATATCTCCACCTGATCCCCCACTGCCATCTCCATCCACCCCCAGTCTGCCTGTAAAATCCTTTCTATTTCCCCTCTCAGAGAGATCCCTAACCTCTCAGTGTCTATGGATTGCAGCTTGATTAACATTTACTTAAAGGCTAATATCCCCCTATAAATGAGTAAACACTGTTAAGCAAAGAACTGCCTGATAAAGAGAGATGAAAATGGTTACTCTGCAGTGGTAGCTGATTTTGGCCTGGCTGAGAAGATTCCTGATGCTAGTACAGGGAGTGAGAAGCTGGCTGTAGTGGGCTCACCTTTCTGGATGGCACCGGAGGTTCTCCGAGATGAGCCTTATAATGAGAAGGCAGATGTGTTCTCTTATGGTATCATCCTCTGCGAGATCATCGCCCGCATCCAAGCTGATCCAGACTATCTTCCTCGCACAGAGAATTTCGGGCTGGATTATGATGCTTTCCAGCACATGGTGGGAGACTGCCCCCCAGAGTTTCTACAGCTCACCTTCAACTGCTGTAATATGGATTCCAAACTGCGCCCATCCTTTGAGGAGATTGGAAAGACCCTGGAGGAAATTATTAGCCGCCTACAGGAAGAAGAGTTGGAAAGGGACAGGAAGCTGCAGCCCACAGCTAAAGGACTGTTGGAGAAAGTGCCTGGAGGGAAACGACTGAGTTCACTGGATGACAAGATTCCCCATAAGTCTCCACGTCCAAGACGTACTATCTGGCTGTCTCGAAGCCAGTCAGACATTTTCTCTCGTAAGCCTCCACGTACAGTCAGTGTCTTGGACCCCTACTACCGGCCACGAGATGGTGCTACACGTACTCCCAAAGTCAACCCTTTCAGTGCACGCCAGGACCTCAAGGGTGGCAAGATCAAATTCTTTGGCCTGCCCAGCAAATCTGTCATTTCCCTTGTGTTTGACCTGGATGCACCAGAGCCTGGAACTATGCCTCTAGCTGATTGCCAGGAGTCTCTGGCTATGTCTTCCAGACGGTGGCGTTCTTTGCCTGGTTCACCTGAGTTCTTGCGTCAGGCTTGTCCATTTGTGGGCTGTGAAGAATCACTATCTGGTGGGCCTCCACCACGACTCAGTAGTCTCAAGTACAGAGTAAGAGAGATCCCACTTCTGACACCATTTTGTTAAGAGAAGCTTTCCTTGAGAGGAGCCTTCCCTCCAGCCTGGTTCCAGAGCCGCTTCAAAACACCATGTTTATATTTCTAGATCTTTGTTGCTTCAGCATGATTTTTCTAGTTCCATCCTTTTGTCTACAAATTTCATCATGTCATTTTTTTCCAGACAGGATTTCTCTGTGTAACAACTTCCCTGGCTTTCCTGGAATTCTCTTTGTAGACTAGGCTGGCCTCAAACTCACAGAGATCATCCTGCCTCTGCCTCCTAAATGTTGAGATTAAAGGTGTGCACCATCATTGCATGGCTATAATAGCATTTTTAAACAACTAAGTAATACTCAATTCTGTGAATGTACAAAACTTTTTATCCAGTCTTCTGTTGAAGGACATCTAGGTTGTTTCCAATTTCTGGGTATTATAAATAAAGCCATAATAAACATGATTGAACAAGTAAGTGTTTGTGGTACAAGGGAGTGTGTTTTGGGTATATGCCCAAGAGTGGTATACTTGGATCTTGAGGTAGATTGATTCCCACCTTTTTGTAGAACTGTCATATTGATTTCCATAGTAGCTGTACAAGTGTGCACTCCCACCAGCAGTGGAAGAATGTACCCCTTGCTCCACATCCTTAACAGCATGTGCTGTCACTTTTGTTATTGACATTAGGCATTCTGACAGGTATAAGGTGGAATCTCAAAGTAGTTTTGATTTGCATTTCCCAGATGGCTAAAGACATTGAACATTTCTTTAAGTGGTTCTAGGTCATTGAGAATTCTCTGTTCAGATCTGTAGCCCATTTTTAATTGGATTATTTGTTTTTTGATGTCTAGTTTCTTGAGTTCTTTATATATTTTGGGTATTAGCCCTCTGTCAAGATTACAGTAGGTAGGTGAAGGTCTTTTCCCATCCTGTAGACTGCTGCTTTGTTGGATTAACAGTATTCTTTGCTTTACAGGAGGTTCTCAGTTTCATGAGGTTCCATTTATTAATTGTTTATCGTAGTACCTACACTATGGCTGTTCTTTTCAGAAAGTTGTCTCCTATGCTAATGTGTTCAAGGCTATTTCCTAGCCTTTCTCTATCTGGATCAGAGCATCTGGTTTTATGTTGAGGTCTTTGATCCATTTGGACTTGAGTTTTCTATAGGATAATAACTATGGATGTATTTGCATTTTTTCTACATGTAGATATCCAGTTTGACCAGCATGTTTTTGGAAGATGCTTTCTTTTTTCAATTGTATAATTTTGACTTCTATATCTTAAATAAGGTATTCAAAGGTATGTGAGTCTTTGATTCAATTTTGTTGACTAAGCAGTCTGTTTTTACACCACTACTATGTGGGTGTTATTATTATTATTATTGTTATTATTATTACTCTGTAGTATAACTTGATATCAGGGATGGTGATACCTCCAGTAGTTCTTTTATTGTTCAGGATTGTTTTAGCTATCCTGAGTTTTTTGTTTTTCCATAACGAAGTTGAGAATTCTCTTTCATAAGGCAGGTTAAAAATTGTATTGGAATTTTGATGGGAATTGCAATGAATATATAGATTGCTTTTGACAGGATGATTATTTTTACTATGTTAATCTTACTGATTTGTGAGCATAGGAGATCTTTCCATCTTTTGATATCTTCTTAAAAATTTCATCAAAGACTTGAAATTTTTATTGTGCAAGTCTTTCACTTGCTTGTTTAGTTACCCAAGATGTTTTATATCGCTTGAAGCTTATGGTGAAAGGTATTGTTTTCCTGATTTTTTCTCAGTTAATTTGTAATTTATATGTAGGTAGACTGCTGGTTTTTCTGAGTTAATCTTGTATCTAGCTATTTTGCTGAAGGTATATTTCAGCTGTAGGAGTTCCATGGTAGAATTTTTAGAATCACTAAAAATACTAACAAAAGACCCAGGATAGGGAAAACAACCTTACACAACAATGCAACATCTGGAGGAATCACCATCCCTGACATCAAGCTCTATTATAGAGCTGTAGTCCTGAAAACAGTTTGGTATTGGCACAAACATAGACAGGTAGACCAATGGAATCAATTTGAACACCCTGATATTAACCCATACATATATGAACATCTGATCTTCGACAAAGAAGCTAAAATTATACAATGGAAAAAAGAAAGCTGGCATGTAAAAGAATGTGGATAGATCCATGTCTATCACCATGCACAAAACTTAAGTCCAAATGGATCAAAGACCTCTACATAAATCCAGCCACACTGAACCTCTTAGAAGAGAAAGTGGGTAGTACCCTTGAACTAACTGGTATAGGAGACAGTTTCCTGAGCATAACACCAGTAGCACATTCAGTGAGATAAAAAATTAATAAATGGGACCTCCTGAAACTGAATAGCTTCTGTAAGGCAAAGGACATAGTCAGCAAGACAAAAAGGCAGCCCACAGAATGGGAAAGATATTCAGTAACACCACATCTGACAGAGGGCTGATCTCCAAATTTTGCAAAGAACTCAAGCAGCAAGTCTCCAAAACACCAAAGGATCCAATTAAAAAGTGGGCTACAGAACTAAATAGAGAATTCTCAATAGGGGAGTCTAAAATGGCTGAGAGACACTTGAGAAAGTGCTCAACATCCTTAGCCATCTGGGAAATGCAAATCAAAACAACTCTGAGATACCATCTTACTCCTGTCAGAATGGCTAAAATAAAAAACACCAAGGGCAGTTTATGCTGGAGAGGTTGTGGTGAAAGGGGAACACTCCTCCACTGCTGGTGGGAGTGCCAACTTGTTCAGCAACTTTGGAAATCAGTATGGAGATTCCTCAGAAAAATGGGAGTAAGCCTAACCCAAGACCTGGCAACTCCACTCTTAGGCATATATCCAAAAGATGCCCATTCATATAACAAGGATGTCTGTTCCACTATGTTCAAAGCAACATTATTTGTAATAGCCAGAACTTGGAAGCAACCCAGATGCCCCTCAACCAAAGAGTGGATAGAGAAAATGTGGTACTATTCAGCAGAAAAAAACAATGGAATCCTGAAATTTTCAGGCAAATGGATGGCAGTAGAAGAAAGCATCCTGAGTGAGGTAACCCAGTCACAAAAAGAGAAACATGGCATGTACTCCCTCATATAAGGACTTTAGACATAGATCTCGGGAGTGCCAGCCTACAATCCCATGGCCAGAGAGTCTGGGAAACAGAACCTTCATTCATTGGCATATGGGGGCAGAGGCAGACTCCCATGGCTAAGCACTGAGCTGACCTCAAGAAATCCAGTGACAGAGAGGGAGGACTGATGAGCAAAGGGGTTAAGACTGGGCTGGTTTAACCCCCAAAAAAGCTGACCTGACAAGGGTTAGCTCTGGATTCCCAGGCATCAGTCTGGACTGATCAAGACCCCCGAATATGGTTGTCAGTGAGGAGGCCTAGATAATCTACTGAGCCTTGGGTAGTAGATCAGTATTTATCCCTGGTATACAAATGGACTTTGGGCTCCCATCCAACAATGAGAGATGCACTCTCTCCCTGGACTCTTGGGGGAGGGTCTAGGCCCTGCCCTGGATGAAATGACAGACTATGGACACCCCCATGGAGGGCCTTACCCTCCATGGGGAAATGAGGGAATATGGGGGGGTTGGTGGGAGGGCGTGGGAGGAGAGGAGGGAAAGGGAGAGGGACCTGAAATTGACATGTGAAGCAACCTTGTTTCTAATTTAAATTTAAATTAAAAATAAAATATAAAAAATACTAACATATGAGTAAATAAAGACACTTTAATTTCTTTCTTTCCAATTTTTTACTCCCTCTCCTTCAGTTGTTTTATTGCTCTGGGTGAAACTTCTAGGACTACTTAAAATAGGTATGCAGAGAGTGGACAGCCTTGTCTTGTTCCTGCTTTTTGTGGAATTGCTTTGAGTTTGTCTTATTTTAATTTGATGTTGGCTATAGGCTTGTTCTAATGGTCTTTATTATGTTTAGGTATGCCCCTTTATCCATAATCTTTCCAGATCTTTTATCATGGAGTGTTGAATTTTGTCAAATGTCTCTCTCTCTCTCTCTCTCTCTCTCTCTCTTTCTCTCTCTCTCTCTCTCTCTCACACACACACACACACACACACAAAAATTTTTAGGGTTATCTCTTATTTGCAATGATAAAATATCTTTTGCAAGTTTATAGAAATGTTAAAGTAAGTGATGCTAGGAGTTGTCTGACCGTTAAATTTTCTGTTTCATAGATAAAAGGTCAATATGCATAAAATGACTAACAGTCCAAGTGAATGCTACATGGATTACCAACCTACAATCCACACTACCAGCAAAGCTAGGAAACAAGGAGGACCCTTAATGAGTCGAACATGGTCCCCTGGAGAAGGGGAAATGAACAAGATCTCCTGAACAAATTGTGAGCATGGCGGAGGGGAGAGGCAGTTAGAGAAATAGAAGGGGAGAAGAGGAGGGGAGAGGAGGACATGTGGGAGCAGTAAGAACAGAGGAGAGCAAGAAAAGAGATACCATAATAGAGGAAGCCATTATAGGTTTAAAGAGAAATCTGGCACTAGGGAAATGTCCAGAGATCTACAAGAATAACCCCCACTAATAATCTAAGCAATCGTGAAGAGGCTACCTTAAATTCCCTTCCCTGATAATGAGATTGATGACTACCTTATATGCCATCCTACAGCCTTCATTCAGTAGGTGGTGGAAGCAGAGACAGACAGTCACAGCTAAACACTGAGCTAAACTTCTGGAATTCAGTTGCAGAGAAGGAGGAGTGATGAGCAAATGGGTCAAGACAAGGCTAGAGCAACCCATAGAAACAACTGACCTTAACAATGGGGAGCTCATGGACCCTAGACTAGTAGCTGGTGAAACCAGCTTAGGACAGACCCAGACTCCCTGAATGTGGGTATCAGTTATGAGGCCTGGGCAATCTGTGTGGCCTCTAGATCAGCATTTATCTCTAGTATATGAACGGACTTTGGGAGCCCATTCCACATAGAGGGATACTCTCTCAGCCTAGACATATGGGGG